AAGTGCGTTTATGGCCGGCGGAGAGTAGCAGTGTATACCATCGATTTCCAGGTGACCGTAAATGATTGCGGTCGTCGAAGCATTTGGGTGAGATCAAGAGAATAGCGCTCATCACACGCAAAGACTGGGCCTTCCGGCTGACGTGTAGAGGAGCCATCGCCGGCGCCTGAGCATTTATCGACCGACTTATCGGCACAAACGAGGAGTTGTGTCGTCGTTCGTAACTTCGTTACTTTGACTCGCTCTTGTAGGCAGACCTTAATTAATTGAGAACAGTATCGAGGGATCGTCGTGGTTCCGTGGGAGGAAACGCTGTTGACAAAGCACTGTTTCTTGCAGCTTCATGACGAAGAGGCTTATCCAAAGGCACCTCTTCGGTGCCAATTGAACAAGCTCAACGAGCTGAGGTCCAAAACGCCGCAAAACCTTATGAGGGTCATCTAATTAATCTAAACATCATCTGAATATCATCTGATGGACTGACTTTAAGGATTCCTTTCATTGTCTTCCCTACGACTTAATTTGTCTAACTGATCGCACACACATTATCGAAAACATCGCATAGACCAGTGACGCTCATTTGACGGTTGGCATGCCTCGGTCACAACCAGTTTCCAGTGGCCATACAAGTTTGCATGGGGACCCTGTGGTCGGAGTACACGGATGGGCCTTACCAATCAAACCATGGCACGAAATGGAGAGTCAAGTGCTGGAAATGAAACAGACGCTGGGCGACCAATGGGCGACTTTCGTATCGCACAATGTATGATCACGAATAAGGTTTTTCAATGGCAGTGAAGCGTTCCCATTTGCAGATGATTACCTAGTTTCGAGATAAGCGGTAAAATGGAACTCTTGTTGCAGCAGTTCACATGACGGCCGCAAAATTTCTTACCTTATTTCTAGTTCTATCTAATGCCCATTTAATTTGCGCAATTTGTTATTACTTATCCAAGAATCATCATTCTTCAATGAATCTGTTCAGTAAATATATTAGCATTTTATTAGACCCTCGATTTGCCCTTTGGTCGATAGCCAGACGTCTTAGCCAGTCGACTACGTTGTGAGCTGCATGTCTAGAATATACGTAAATACATATTTCAGCTATGTCATACAGATCTGCCGTGAAAAGAAAGTAATACTATAAATTTTTATTAATATCAAGTTGCAAAAATATATAGCCAGTACTTATATCATGCTTCTAACATAAAACACTCGGCTCTGAATCATCGTCTTTCGACATTGACAAAATACGAACTGCGAACATAAGTGTTTTAAAATCAGTCAGAACTGCAGGGTTAATTTAGGTTCATAAAAAACATGTGAACTGATGAAGCACTTAATTGGCATTCGATGGATACAATGAACGATAAACAACAAAATCGATAGACATGGATTTTCAAGAAGATTACACAATTCGCCAAGGAAACGTGCCAGGATTCGGTTCAAAATTGACCGATATGGAAACCAATTAGGTCTCCAAGACCTCTCACTAAAATGTTGATTTATTAACGTAGCTTTATCAAATAACCATAGCAGCATTAACATTTCTATTTGTCAACATTGAAGGCATTTCAGATTACAGTATTAAATTTTCATCAATAGTTTATTCGTACATCAGAATATGTCAAATATCGTATCACTCCTCCAAGACCTGGTTTCACGTTGTATTCCCTTCAATTTCTAGTTGTACGTGAAGGCCATTTAAGCACATAACGGCTTTCTGATGTTTTTTGGGAGCATAAGGAGTACTAGCTCCTCTAACATCGTCTGTGAGAGGTGGCTGTAATAAACAGAATGATGTGAAATGCATCTGACACTGCAGATGGTCAAATACAACGGAGCCCTTGATTCCTTAAATAGTACTCCTAGGCAAATAGGAGCAGAGGAAAGTACAATATACTATGTAACCTGATTTTGGAGGAGTTATGTTTTATTGAGTATTCCGCTTTATCGCTAAGATATACATTGCACGTCTTACTAACCAAAAGGTAGTTCTCTACGAAGTATATTCTAAATTGCATGACTTAAACATGAATTTCGTAAGAATACCGACACTCCTAACTCTTACTGCTGTGAACGCTTTGAATACTCTAAAATGTGACCCCTATGTGGTGACTGTTGATACATGTCTCTCCCTAAATTATGCTTTTCCCTTTCATTTTTGAATATTATTGTATTGTGTATTTGTCAACACATCCTCCCATTGTGA